CCTCCCCCCCTCCTTCCATACAATCTCTTTAGTAAGGTCCTAATGGTTAATTTTATTTCTACTCGATTTGGCGCAATTTTCTTTTTTTTTTTTGAAAAAAAAAGAAAATTAAAAATAAAATGATGCTGAAAATTTAGAAAATATTTTTTTACTATTCCTGAGCGCAACGCTAAAAAATTAAAACATATTTTTTTCTATTTTTGAGAGCAACGCTTTAAATTTAAAACTATATTTGCTATTTTTTTGCGCAACGCTTAGAAAATTAAAAATAATTTTTCTATTTTTGAGCGCAACGCTTTAAAATTGGAAATATTTTTGCTATTTTTGAGCGTAACGCTAAAAAAGTTGAAAATATTTTTGTTATTTTCTAACGGAAACGCTAAAAAAATGACAATATTTTTGAGCGCAACGCTTGAAAAATTAAAAATATTTTCTCTATTTCTGAGCGCAACGCTTTGAAATTAGAACAATTTTCACTATTTTTGAGCGCGATGCAAAAACGTTATCAATATTCTATTCTTGAACGCAACGCTTTTGAAATTAAAACTTTTTTTGCTATTTTCAAGCGCAACGCTTGAAAAATTAAAAATATTTTCTCTATTTCTGAGCGCAACACTTGAAAATTGGAACAATTTCCACTATTTTTGAGCGCGAAGCAAAAACGTTGACAATATATTTTCTATTTTTGAGCGCAACGCTAGGCGATTTTTTTTGTAAATTTTTGTGCACTGGGAAAAAAAATATTCAAAATCTGAGCGCAACGCTCACAAAATTCTCTTTTTAAAATTTTTTTTTCCCTTCGTTTTCTATTTTTTTCTATTTTATTTATTCCAAAACCACACAAAGTTTGTGCGTTCAAAAAAAAATCTAATCCGAGCGCAACGCTATTTAATTTTTTTTTAAAGCGTAGGTTTTTTTTTTTGCTCAATTTTTCAAATACAATTAATTACTTTCTCAATTAATTAAAATATTAATTGAGGAAAAAAAGTTAGTTTGTGGAAAAACAAAAAAAGAACAAAAAAAATGGTAAATTTAAGGTCAAGATAAGCCTCTTAATTTTAAATACGTGACAATAAAAGAGCTCGTCCAAAAAAAAAAATTGAACGTGAGTTATCTCAGTGTCTAAACAAAAAATGTCAAATAATTTCTGGCTTTTGGGTTAAGAAAAATTAACTTAACAAAGAGAAAATATTTTGCTAATTAATTATTCAAAAAAAGTTTCCTAAGGGTTGTTAATACGAAAAAAAAAATTTACAAACAAAAAGAAAATCTTTAATTCTTTTCATCTATATTAAAAAAAATATTTTATTCGTTAAATTTATTTTAACAAAATATAAATTATTTTTAATAAAGTATTTTCTAGAATTTTTATTAAAGAAAAAATTTGATTAAATTTTTAATTAAATATTCAAGCAATAAAATATTTAATTACATTTTCATGGAATAAAATATCCAATGAAATTTTCAAGAAGTCAAATATTTTGTTAAATTACTGTCATAAATTAAATATTTTCTGAAATTTTCCACTAAATATATTATTGTGTGTTTATTTACTCTCCCTGCAATAGGCAGGGTTCGAGACTCCCAGATACATTTACAAATCAACTTATTCTATATGTACAAAACTTCTTAACCTATAACGTCGCTCTTATTCCACATCAACAACTTAATCAACACGCAACTTAACCTATTCTCATCACACTCATCCACTCAAAATTCGCCAGTGCCAGGGCTTCCGTTTCCAGTTCCCTTTGTCCATACTGACTGATTCCCCATTAACGCCCCACCCCTTTAAATCCTAAACCTCCATCTTCCTTCCTGTCCTTCTTCATTTCTCCCCATTCACCCGATCATCTATTCCAACCTCAAGCACTCGTCCATTACCTTCTCTCACGCACCATTTTACCCCATCCACCCACACACATTCCCTACCCATTCTTACTTCTCTTCCATTCCTTCTTTCGATCCATGCCTTCTCTCCCAGTAACCATCTTATTCTCCTTTCCCTCCACGTTCTATCCTCATCTATTCTCTCAACACATCCTTTCAACCTTCCTTTCATCCTCATAACCTCCTCTTTCTCCTCCTCACTTCCCAGTTCTACTAACCACATCCTCGGAATTCCATTCGCATCCATACTCATCGCTTTCATCTGCCTAATATTAATTTTCACCCCTATCCTTTCAGCCAGTCTCCCCACCTCTCTTCTTCCTTCACTTAAACCTGCATTCATACCCCTAATAATTATATTTCTTTTTCTTTTATCCTTTTCCATCCATTCCACTCTTCTTTCCAGCTCATTCACCTTTTGTTCATAATATACACTTTCACTTCCCTCACTACACATTTTTACCCCCTTTTTCAACATAACCTCCATTTTCTTATCCTCTTCCTTCTTCTCTAAAATAAATTTTTCCAAATCATCCACTCTTTCTCTCATACCTTCCAACTCACTCGCCCACCTTTTCCACTTTTCCTGCATCCTTTCCATTTCCTCATCTAATTCATCAATTTCTTTACCCCTCTCCTCACCTAATTCACACACCGTTACAAAATTCTTTCTCACTCTCACAAAACGCTCTTCCATTGCCTCATTCAACATTTCCACTAACTCCATCAAGTCCATACAGTCTTCACACGTCATCACCTTTCCATTCTTCCCAAACCCTCTTTTAAATATTGGCGCCTTTTTCTCAGTCTCTCGCACACTACTTGAATCAAATTCAGCCATTCCAGAAATCTACCTTATCATTCAATATTTCCCAATGTCTCTCTCTCTCTTTTCTCTCACTTCAAGCAACCTAACCTCACAACATTCACTTCTCTATTTTTACCTTTTTTATCACTCACACTTAACCACTCGCACACATACACTCTTTTTACTTTCACCACCACTCTTTCCTTTGTTATCTCAAACACTACACTACCCACCCTTCAGTAAAATACTCAAAATTTTGCCAAAAACTCTTAAACCTTTACAAACGCGTGCACAACTCAACGGTACCGGAAACGGAAGCCACTAAATATATTATTAAATTTCGTAACAAAATAAAATATTTAATAAAATAATTAATTACTAAATAATTACAAATTTAATAAATATAAAAATATTTCATTAAATTTGTATATAATAAATGAAATATTTCATTAAAATTATATTATACGAAAATATTTACTAAATGTTTAATAATTAAAATATTTTGTTATTAAATTTCGAGTGAATAATACAATGAAAAAATTTTAATAAAATAAATATTTAATAAAAAAAATATTAAATTCAATTGTAAAAAAAAAACATTTTCCAAAAAGCAGCTTTTCACTCAATTTATTGTATTATTTAATTTTTTTTTTTGAAATGTAAAATTTTTAAAACTTAAAAATTTTGAAATATAAAATTAAAAATTTTTATAAATAAAATTAAAATTTTTTATAAATGTGGAATTCTTAATGTAGAAGAATTTTTGCAAACGACAGACGTCTGTTTCAAGTTCGCTGACTTATGGGAGTTGGTAATTTAATTTTGTACGAGAAGAGAGAAAGAGAGAGTGAGTGAGAGAGAGAGAGAGAGAGAGTGCAAAAAGAAATCAATTTTCTCACATTTTTACACAGCACGCACATGCGTCTGATAGAGACGCAGAAGGGGCGAAGGTGGGATGTAGGGTGAGGGGGGGGGGGAGAAATTAAGAGAGAAAGAGAATTCTCTCATATCTTAAATTCTTCGTCGGTACAACAGAACATCATCTTTTTTCTCTTCAACGTCAAGAAGAATAAAAGAGAGAAATCTAACTTCTCTACCCAAAAAACCGTGACCTAGCGACATCACTCACAATATTCTCGAAACTTTTGTTAAAACCTCCAATTCACCTTATACCTGCGCGGTCCAGTTTCACTCCGTCGATAATGCAGTTTTCTGTACATATTCAAAATTAAGTCAAAAAATAATTATATTGAAAACTAAAATATTTTAATATTTTTTCTTTTACTTTCTATTGACTTTTGAAATGAGAAGTGGAAATTTTTTTTTTTTAATTTTTACGCACGCTTTGAATTTTTTTCTCTTGCAAAATTATAAAACAGAATATTTTTATATATATATATAGAAAATATATTTTTATTTTTTAAAAAATATTTTTAATTAAAAGAAATATATTTTTATTTTAAAAAAAATGTTTCTATTTAAAAAAAGCGATTATTTTTTATTAGACATATGAATTTTTTTTTAATGAGACGATTATAATTTATGTGAAGAGAATAAGCGATTACGTGACAGTGTTTTTTTTGTCTTCTTTTGGCCGGATACAAATTCAGTGCGATGGCCATGCTACGTATTTATTTTTATAAACTGCTTCTATTGAACTTAACGAGGACAAATTGAGATGATATGGAAGCTTTGATTTTTTTTGATAGAGCGCGCTCACACAAGTCGATAACGCTCTCTACCCCGGGGCTATATTAAATATTTTCTTAATTAATTTTTTCTTTTTAATATTTATTATTATTATTATTATTATTATTATTATTATTATTATTATTATTATTATTATTATTATTATTTTTAATACTAATATTATTTTTATTACTATTATTATCTTAAAAATTACTAGTATTTTTATTATCGTTAATAAATAATTATAATTATTATAAGCAAAAATAGTCATTAGAATCACAGTAATAATAAAAATAATAATCATAATAATTATAAATAAAATTAATTTACTGAAAACGAAAAAAAATTTTAAGTTTTCAAAAATCCCGCCTTAAATTTAGTTGCCAGAGGGCGCCAATGACTTTCTCGCAAGTGGTAATATTTTACGTCAAATTACACTAATAATTCTAAATATTGTTAGAATGAAAGTAATTTTAATAAAATAATAGTAAATAGTGATAATAGCAAAAATATCATTAATAATAATAGGAAAAATAACAATGACGGCGATTTATAAATTTATCAACCACTTAAACGACAATAAATTGAAGATTTGTTTCTTTTTTTGTTTCAGCACTTGTACAACATGCAAACTGGCGAGGGAGCATTCAGAGAAAGGGGCAGAGGTCGAGGAAAGGGTGCAACAAGGGTAAGTTGATTATTCACCATACTTCATTACGATACGTCCTCGCATTTTACGTCTTAACACAATGCTATTCGATTTTTCAACAAAATAACTATCGATTTATCGAAAAACTATCAAAATATCGAATAAATATCGTTTTATCAAAAAACTATCAATACATCGAATAAATATCGATTTATCAAACAACTATCAATATATATCGAATAAATATCGATTTATCGAACAACTATTCATGTATCGAATGACTATCAATTTATCGAACAAATATCAATATATTGAATAAATATCGATTTATCGAACAATTATCAATATATCGAATGAATATCGATTTATTGAACGACTATTAATATATCGAATAAATATCGATTTATCAAAGAAATGTTCATGTATCGAATAATTGTCGATTTATTGAACAACTATTGATATATCGAATAACTATCGATATATCAAAGAACTGTTAAAATATCGATTAAATATCGATATATCGAAAAGCTATTTATAAATCGAATAACTATCGATATAAGGATTTATAAAAATGATTGATATATCGATTTATTATCAATGAGTAACTATCAATATATCGAAAAATTGTTGATATATCGAATAACTATCGATATATTGAAAAATTGTTGATATATTGAATAATTATCGATATATCGATATATTTTCGATATATTGAATAATTGGCGATCTATCGATTAATTACCGATATATAAAAAAATATTCAAGTCGAATAGCTATCGATACAGCGATTAGCAAGCGATATATCGATTAATTTCCAAATTAGGGAAAATATCGACATTTTTCTATTTTTTTTTTGCACCTTTATTATAATTGGCGTTAATAATCTCATGAAAGGAAACTGGTCTTGTTTGGGATAATTATTATTATAATAATTATTAGGCAGCATCTTAATTTAGCTGGACCACTTTCCACGGGAGTGATACACGGGATACACTATTAATCTCACGTTGATGTCACTGATTGCGTTACTCACGGTGGTTAAATAGAGGCGGTCAGTGGTAAACAGAGTGACGTAAATATTGTGCCAATGAACTCTTATATAAATATATATACATACGTAAAATTTGCAAACGGAAAACAAAATTTTAGTGACTAAAATAATTATTTTTTATACTTTCTTTTTTAGAATTAAAATTTGTAATTAGAGGGAGCAAAAGAAAAAAAATTTAATTTCGAAATAATATAAATGTTGGGAAACGGTAAAAAAAGGAAAAAAGAGGAAAATTGCGAATCCTCGAAAAAGTTTTAGAATTTCCAGCTCTCGTTAATTACTAATTTAACTGATTACAGAACTTAATTAGCAACGAGTTTATTTTTTTTTAGGAAAAAAAATTCTATTTTCTTTTTTTTTTTAATATTAATTAAAAACTTAATTAGAAAATAATTAATAACAACTTGCAAACAACTAAAAAAAAGTAAGGAGAGATTGAAATAAATTTTTAATTAGTTTCATATGGTTCCATTTTCTTTTTAATATATTAAAAAGAAAGTGGAAGGATTATTACTATTTTTCTTTTAATTAATTATTATTCTCATTATTTTTATTATCTAGGATTTTATTATTATTATTTTTATTCGTACCTTAATTATTATTATTAGAGTAATTTGACGTAAAATATTACCACTCGCGAGAAAGTCAATGGCGCCCTCTGGCAATTAATTCTAGCGCGGGCTTTTTGAAATTTTGAAATTTACTTTTTCGTTTTTAGTAAATTAATTTTGTTATTTATTATTATAAATATTATTATTATTATTATTATTAACAATATTACTATCATTTTTCTAAATATTATTTTTAAACTATTATTATTTTATTATTATCACAATAATACAATTGGAATAATTTGACAGAAATATTACCGCTTGCGAAAAAAGTCAATAGCGCCCTCAGCCGAATAATTTGAACGCGGGCTTTTTGAAAACAAAAAATTATTTTTAATAAATAGTAAATAGTATACAGTAAATAATTATAATAAATAATATTAAATAACAATAAATAAATAGGAAAATAAAATAAAATTTCATTAAATATAATTAAAAGAAGTAGAAAGAGAGAAGTGAGTGCGATGATTTTTCCTTAAATGAAAAAAAAAATGGGAGATGAAGATGCGCGCTTCGAATAGGAAGAGAAGGGAGAGAAAATTGATAGACGAAATAAATTTGAAATTTTCTCATGGTCGATGCTTTTGCAGACATTTAAAAAAGTCAAACTACCTTCTGGCACGAACGTGCCAGAAGCGATTGGATGGCACCAGTGGCGCTCGCAATTGAGAAATCGATAACTCATTCGACTTGAACACACACACACACACTCACAAAAATACTTATATATACATATTATATATATATATATATATATATATATATATATATATATGTATATACAAAAAATATAGCTTAAAAAAAAAGATGAGCTCTTCAAAACTTTTTAATTCAAGTTTCCTGACAATCATTTTTCTCACCAACTTTATCGCGCGAGCGCACATTTTTTTTTCATCTTAAAATTTAAATTTTAAATTTCTTCCTCCTCAACTTTTTCCAACACAGTATTTTCAATTTTTTCCCTAATTTCTATTCAAAAATCTTAAAGAGAAAAAAAATTCTTTTTCTTTTTGATTTAAAAAGCACTTTCATTAAATATTTCGTCGATATTTTTTCGATACATCGAAGTTTTGTATCAATATCTTTTCGATACATCGAGATTTTTGTATCGATATTTTTTTGATACATTGATATATCGAATTTTTTTTAATTGATATTAATTTTAAACATCGAATTTCTTGTATCGATTTTTATTCGATACATCGAAATTTTTGTATCTATTTTTCTTTGATATATCGAATTTTTTGAATCGATATTTCTTCGATACATCGAACTTTTTGTATCAATATTTCTTCAATATTTTTTCGATACATCGAGGTTTTTGTATCAGTATTTCTTCTATATAACAAGCTTTTTGTATCGATATTTATTCGATATATTGAAATTGTTTTCGATATTTATTCGATAAATTGAACTTTTTGTGTCGATATTTTTTCGATACATTTCAATGTATCGAAAAATTATCGAAAATATTGAAAAAAATATCGAAAAAATGTCTTGATATAACAATAATTAGTCGATACTTCGATATATATCGATAATTTGTCGATACATCGTTATATATTGATATGACGAGAACTGTTTGATATATTAACAAATCAATAATTGTTCAATATATCGATATGTTGAGATCTAGTTGATACATCGATCTATCAATATATATCGATAATTAATCGATACATCGATATATATCGATGTAACGAGTATTTTGTTGATACATCGATACATATTGATTTTCTTTCTAATTTTGAAAAATAAAAGAGAAATTAATGATAAATTCCACATTTAGTGAGACACAGAAAAAAACAAAAATTCTCCTAATTTATTAAAAGTGTACAAAAGTAAATTTTACATTTTTAGTTTTAAAAATAAAATTTTCTCTATTCTTCTAAATTTGAAATATGATGAAAAAAAGGAATAAAATGAAAAAAAGAAGGGAAAAAAGGTGAATATATGTGGCGTCACTATATATCTATGGTGTATGTTGAATGTTTTGTAAAAGAAAGAAGGAATGAGAGAAAAAAAGAATGTTTAAAACATGGACTGCGCATTTCAATGAACTGAGATCGGAAGTGGTTGAATAAATAATTTTGGAAAATAAATAAATAAAAAAAAGGAGAGTATCGATAGGAAATGAAAAAGTGAATTTATTTATTTATTTATTTTGAAACTATAGTGGAAAAATTGACTTTGGTGGTTGGTGATGGTAGTGGAGGAGGACTATGGGGGTGAATCTGCATATATAGATTAGACTTTCTGGAGGAGTGGGTGGGTGAGGGGGGAGGAGAAGAAGGGATGAGAGAGGGAATGGAATGAGATGGGATGGGGGGGGGGTTCACAGAGAGAGACTGAATCGCGAACTGCTTTAAAGGCAGGAAAATTTTAAACATGGCGGTGTGCTGAGAGAGCTTGGAAAGGCAGGCGCGCACCACGCGTCGATCAATATAGCGCCTTGTTTAATATCAGTTCTCAAACTCTCCTGTACAGCCAACCTCAAGAAGAAAACGATTTCATCTTAAGAATTTTCTTTATTCTTTTAAAACTCATTTTTTCTAAAATTCAAAGAAAGAAAATTATTACTATATTTTTATTATTCATATTATTTCTTTTTTCTTACTACTTTTATTATTTCTTCTTAATTATTTCGATTTCCCGAAATTCTCCGAAAGTGACTTCCGGAAGTAGTTTTTCCGGTAAAAAATCTAAAATTTTTATGAAAAAGTTCCAATAACAAAAGTATTAACCAAAACAATAGTAAAAATATTTACATTTACAATATTAATAAAAATAGTAAAAATAACAACAAAGAAAAGTTTTAACTAACAATAGTAAATAAATATTTTTATTTTTTTAAATTGAAATTACCTTGAATAATAATAATAATAATAATATAAATATTAATAAGAAGAAGAATAATGGTAATAATAAAAATAGTAATAATAACAATTTTTTCCTCTTTTTTTGTATACGAAAAACTTTAATTGCAAATATTTGTGGTTATAATAGTTTTGCGCGCACACTTTTGAGGAGTATATACGAGAATTTTATAAAAAGAACCGAGGTCGTCACGCAGAAGAGAACATTATGGCGTCTTTAAAGTGTAAACAAGAAATACAAGAAGAGTGAAAATAAAAAGCAAAAAAAAAAATTAAAAAAAAATAGAAAGACGGGAAATGAAAAGAACAAAGAAAGCATACGAGAGAGGTCGATAAGGTGACTCCCTCAAAACCCCCTGTGCGCTCGCTCACCCCCCGCCCCCCTCTCCTCTCACCGCTTCCGCTCCATCGCATCAGAATTCATTTTTTCCCTTTTTTTTTGCAAATTAAAAAGGAAAAATTTAAAACTTAAAAAAATTTAGAAACGAGTAGAAAAAAAAC